GTTCTCAGGTCAGTAGGCCTACACAGTACATGATGCAGTGTGGTGTAACTTTCTGCTGTACCTTGCTAGGCCTAGGCTTATTATTGACTCAGGGTCGGGGAACCAAGGTAGGTAAACATGACGTTCTCTAAACCGGTCCGTCCGGAAAACCGGTCAAAGTGGACGGTCCGAAGGGTGGTCGGTATTGGGAGAGTTGACTGTACAACAAAGGTATAACTTGGGAATTCCCCTTCGTGCCTATTGTAAACAACAGAGGTGTGGCAGTATTTCCTGGGCCTGTTGAGACAATCTAAACTGATGTGCACTGGGTGAGCCAACCAATTTGCGTTTGTGTACGTGAAACAGCAACCATGTGTACTGCACTGGGCAAGCCAACCAATTAGCGTTCGTGTACGAAACTATGCCTACTCAGCTTCATGTAGAAAATTCGACCAAACAATTTTTCCCATGGTGTGCCACATGAAGCTAAGGAGGAAAGCAATTACTTTGAGCACCATTGGTAGTTGTTCATCTCACTCAGTTCACGTGGTTTTAGATTCAATCAATGTTGCTGTTTAATGAAAATATGTTGCATTATGGCTTGTTTATTGTTATAGTTTATTGTTATAGTCTTTTTACTTATGGTTGTTTTGAATATTTTCGGGGTTTTTTATGACGTCATCGTCGATACGAGGCGTACGTAAAACCGAGGGTTCGTATAACTGGTGTACGTAAAAACGAGGTTCTACTGTATTCTTGTAGTGAGGACGCTAACACGAAGTGGTGTTTTAATGCTTCCCCCTATATGGGTTATTTAAATGACCAACCAACGACTTTAAAATAACAGAATAATCAATATTCATGATATTTATCGAAGATGACATGCTAAACAGCATAAGTAGCATAACCTAGTCAAGTTGTCATGGCTGCTGATTTTACGTGTGAGTATTTAAATTTAATCTATGTTTTTAACCCAAAACTTAAGAAAATATGGCATGTAAAGTTTATAAAGGCCTATTTGTACTTCAATGATAACGATAAAAAAAGCTAAAAGCGATTGTTCATATAGAAAACAAAAGAATGTTCAATAGAACATGAACCCATTCATTTTTTAAGAGATAACCACTGTGACCTTTAACCTCAACCTGTGAACGCCCCATGTTCTAATGCAACTGGTCCAATCGTTAGTCACTAGCAATATTTGATAATTTTCTCTATAGTGACCCTTGTGAATTTTTACCTATAGATGAAGAGTAGTTTTCATATTTAGAAGGCCCTAATGATCATTCCTGGTAAATTCGAGCTCAGTTGGGCTATTTTGAAAATTTGACCACTGATGACAGACAGGGGTGTAGGAGGTGTCACTGGTTCTTAATGATCAACTTTGAGGGAGGGAGAGGGAGGGAGATAAAAATCATTGCTACTACGACTTTTTAGCATTTTTATCGTTATCGTTATAGTTGAATGTAAACTGGCCTTTAGGCTGTACAATTTGTTTGGCAATTTTTTTAAACATTGCCACTTTCTACATGTTATTACCATTAAACTTCAGTATGATCCTTCACAAAATCTTGCTCTGGTCAAAATTTTAAGTTTAAATATGACCGTGTCTGGCCTTTAAAAACATGTGTTTTCCTCTTGGCAGGCCTAGCATGTCTGGCCTTTATACGTTTACGGCATAATGAATAACACTGACTACAGTAACAAGATAACTAAAATGGTTTTTTAATTTAATTCAAATGTCCCTAGGCTAGGTCTAGGCTACCTAAAAGGAACCTACACTACAGAGGGTAAGCTGCTGCCTGGGCCTGAAATTATAAGTAAACAAACAGGCCTAGCGTATTTAAATGTATGGTATGCTCTCACGTGGATGTAGGCCTAGTCCAGTAGGCTTAGGCATATTATTAGGATTCTTCAGACTCGTAAGTTTTAGAAAAACAATTATCTTGTAAATGTATAAAACGTCAAAAAATATCAGATATTAATTATTTCAAAAATTCATTTTTAGTATCTGAAGTTTGGTGATATTAATTTTGTTTCATTTTCCATATTCTATCGTAAATTTTGAAGAAAAACAATACATATTTTTGCAGTAATAATTTTTTGTATTTTTTATTTTAAACAAGATACAAGAGAGCTGACAAAATACAACATGGAGATGATCAATTTGAACATTATTATAAAGAAGCAGGATGCAGAAAAAATTATTCATTCTGATTCCGTACAATGTTTTAAAAAGAAATTATCATCACTATTATAAAATAAAATAAATAAAACTCTTGTGCCACATGGAATAGAAATTTGAGGTGACAATATAAATAACACTTATTATTTTACTTTCCATTGGCTTAGAATAATTATTATATTGTTATGGCCCACAGTTTAAAAAAATATTTATAAATATCTTTTCAGCTTCTTTAATTGTTGTCATTCAAGATGAAAAAAAAAAGGAATCGATATTTTGTCTGCATCCTTGCCATTACAAACAGTTTTTCTCAGCATGGTGCAAGTCTTACCTGTGTTTTTGAAGTGACATACTCAAAACCTTGCTTTTTGAGATAATCAGAATTGTTCTTGTGTGTATAGAAAGTTATATTTTCTGTGAAACCAATCAATATGTAACATTTATTTCCATTTTCAAACAGAAAAACAAGGAACATGGTGGCATCACCAAGAAAGCAACATGCTTGTAGCAGGGATGCCATAAACAAACAAACATTCAACAAAATTTAAAAGAATTAAAGCAATACAATATAAACGAAAAGTGCAATTCCTAAATAAAAGTAATAATGATCATAATATGCATCAATAATCAACAAACTTGCATTTGAATTGTAGTTACTTATATATTATTTATAATATGAGATTTAAGATTCATTTTAAAGCAATTTATGTCTGTAATGTTCTTTATCACAGGAGGCAGGTTATTCCAAAGTTTAACGCCAGAATATCTAATGCTTTGCTGAAACAGCGAGGTTCTAAGTTTGGGGAGGTGAATTGATGAAGAAGATCTCATGTTATAGTTATATATTTTTACGTTAAATTCAAACATATCATAAAAACGTTTTGGGAAACAACATACTATTGAGAAAAAAATGTTTAAAACATAATGTATATACCACCACACTTTTATATTATATAAATTATATATTATTAATATTAAAATCACTTACATATTAGTTACTTCACATATTAACACAAATTGCAATAATATATTTTGTCAAACAGCACAGTAATAGTGTGAACACTTTGATAGTCAAGAATGCCTACTAAGGCCGAAATAGTTGCCCTTCTTAATCAAAGATTTTGAAAAATCAGAATAAATTGTATATTGCCAATATTTAACAGAATACAAGAACAGACATTGATTGTTCATTGATGATCGATGATAGCTTCTAGAAAAATTGCAAAATTTTGTAATTAGACGATAACTACGTCGAGGTTTAGAGCTATGAACATTTACGGAGTGAGGGCGTTGTTTGTTTGCATTTTTACAATTCACCGGCCTTACTTTTCTTGTTAAAATTCATGATTTTCATGAATATAACTTCATGATTGCCAGTATATTGTTTAATAGTTGATATAATAATTAGAAAAACAGAACACATAATGGAGGGGGGGATATTATACTCATATATAATTGTTGCACAATTCTACTCTATACCAAAAAGTGCATCATCGAGTAGTTTTGCTAGGCTCGCACAATCCCCATCTCAACACAGTTTGTTTGTACTTATTTTTTCCATTGTAATCACACATGTGAATATGAATGTGACTGTGAAATAAATCAAAATCAAATACAAATAATTACAGATCTGTTGTGTTGTTTTTGAAAATTACTAGCTGACTGTTGTTCAATCGTTCTTTTAGCAATTTCAGATTTATGAATAAAATTATTTTTGTGTAAAGTATATAGTTAAGATTTAATTTAGAATCTTCTTTTTGTTTTTTAAGTTTATTTGTATTCTGTGTGCACAATCACTAATATGATGGGTGACATTGATTCAAAAGTGGACCCAATAAAACTCAAAATCCAAGAAATGTAATGCACACTATCATATTGGGATTCAATAGTTTATCATTTATTATGCTATGTATTTTTTTTTGAGCAGGGAGTTGTTAAAGTACTTTCACATCATTTTAAATCAAATGTTATCAGGAAAACATTATTTAAAATTGTTCATCATAGTTACATAATTGCTGCGAAGCAGCCAATTCATATTGAATGCAATGCAATGCATATTCAATTCAGCATTGAATGCTTGACAGCAATTTGACCTCTGAAAGGTCATTATTTGTCAAAAAACAAGGGCCTAAGACGTCTGAAAAGCGGAGTTTCCTTCTTTCGTTCTGCCGGGTCAAATCAATTACTTTAGGCGACGTTTGTAGACTAACCTACACGTACCAACGTCCACATGTCGCGACGCTCAAGTAATATTCAACGTTTTTACTATATTTCTAGGTTTCCTATTTCTACGTTTAATCTGCCCATGTCTCAGCCACAATATTTTGAGGCCAATATTATTTACGAACCCAGTTAAACTTATTTACTAGCCTATTTCAGCGTTCTAATTATTACATTTAGGCGACGCTTGTTGTAGACTGGCATACACGGTACCAACGCTCATTTTTTTTTATGTTTCTACGTCAGCTCGAGACGCTTGAGTATTACTATTCAGCGTTTTTACTATAACCATGGGCGGTATAAATGACAACTCAGCCCAAGGCTCGGCACAGTATTTTGAGGCCTATAGTATTTACAACCCAGTTAAACTTATTTATGTCAACATGCTAATTATTACAATAATTAAAAATGTATTACACTAGGGGGCCGCGAAACTGTGGCCAAGTTGACTTAGTGCCGAGTTGACTCGAATTCGATCATGCTTACATTGTGTGGTGCGTTGGCAGTCAACTACTACTACTCTACAAACTCGCCCCTAGAAAATTCGCCGCCTTGAAAACTCCCCATACTAAATCATCTCGCCAAATAAACATCCTACTCTAGGCCTAAACTTGCTAGGATGGTATAGGCCTAGCCTTGAAGGGACAAAGGTCCCAATGAAAAACAACATCGCTACTTGATAGCTAACATTGTCTATTTAATATCACAATACAGTAATTCATTATTAGACCTATAGTTGTTTTTTGAATTGTACTCCACAAATCTCAGCCGATACCTCGCACAACTCGTTAACGTCTCGTATCTATTGTCGTGACGTCATGGCTCGCTGGCTCACACTTGTGATGTCTCGCACTTGTGATCAAATAACACGCTGGCTCGCACTTTGGCAACACTCTTTGGCAGTCAACTCGCCCCACAGAAAACCCGCCCTTGGAAACTTGCCCCATAAAAAAAATGTACACTTCCTAGACCATGCAGTCTTTAAAATAAAAATTGTAACCTTTGGTAATCAACTACATTTTCCACATACATAGAAATTTTTGAAACTTTATTAAAAAAAACCTAAACCATAATTCACCACTATAGACACTTTTTGACAAAAATGAAAAATTACGTCACCCTATGAGAAGTGTTCTAATATAGACAATGGGTCGTGTCTCATATTATTTGTTATATTTTTATTATTCATTATTTTCACTTGACTTGCATAAATAATTTTGTTCGAAGAACATTTATATGCAGTTGTACTTTGCAGCACTTCACTTGCAATTTGCAATTTCTAATCTAATGTTTCTTTTAGTGACTAACATTAAAAATCACTAATAAAATAAATTGATTATTTAACATGTGACAGAACATTGCCTTTAATTGGTCCATAATTGGGGCATTTTTAAAATATATACTGTATTTGTTTCAGGAAACATCATGCAATGAACCAGCAAGCCTCCCAAGTCTACCAAAGATCCAATTTTGAAGGCTAATTCCCTCTTCCTAAAACAATGAAATTTTCTCAGAAAATCTAGATTTTTTTCTTCTAAATTAAAAGCTGAGTATATTTGTAAAATTTAAGATTTCTACATATAATGTGTAGGCCCCTTACTGTAAATAAATACTTTGTTGAGTATTGTTTTAAGACCACAATATTCAAGACAAAGTAGTGCATGTCACTTCACCAATGCACCAAGTGATTTCACAAATGTTAATGAACATTGATGTCACACCGGTTTTAGCATATTATTGGATAAAACAATTTACCATACCTTTAGCAAACGAAAGATAAGATATACGGCACCGTAGCCCTAGCCACAGCTTTAATAAATACTGTAAAGTTCTTATTTTCTCAACTTCACAATTTTAAATATTTCGTAGCCTTTTATTTTCACGTTTCTCGGTCATGTTTTTTAACATGTAGTAGAAGCCTACAATTATGTTTTTTAGTCTATATTTTGGTTAAAGCTCCGATTTTGGTGGGTTTCTCCCAATTTCTCAAGAATTCTCCTACCCTCCCGAATCTAGCTGTGTCTGAACAATGTTTTTTTTAGATACATTATTTTGCCTCGATGTAGATTCCTTGTTTTGCCTCGGAAAGGTATTCAAAAATTATTTTGAGCTGATGGAGTTCAGCAAGGCAAAATCAACTGGTTAATGGTGTTTTCATATCAATAATCTTACCAGTGACGTGTTTACAAGCTAGATAGTGCATGTAATTGCCACAAATGTGATAAATTCAAAAATATGTCACACTTAAAACAATACCAAGCCTGACATGTTTCTGAGCCAAAACAACTTATGTGTGAATATCGCTAATAACTTTGCAATAAATAAACGGTTGTAATTAAAATTTTACATATAATCGTAATGTCTACTGATGTACAATCCTGCAAAATTTTAAAAGGGTATGACAATTTATTGCAAAGTTTCAAACTTTAACTCTATTTTTCTCCAAAAGTGAAAATTTCAAGTTACCTTGTTTTGCTATGGAATGGCTGTTTAGGGCTATAAACTTATAGATTCTGAACATGCAAATCATGTTTCTGTGCTGGTTTCCATAGTGAATGGGTAATGTGAGAAATGTCTTGACAGCATTTGCAGAGTCATTCTACCATGCAAATCATCGTATCATTATGCAATATGATTTTAAAAATAAAACTTTGTATTTTCAGAAAGAAAAATATCAGATTAATGTCTGCGGTGAAGGTGGTGAATATGAGACACTGACGTTAGATTGTCCTCTGTTTAATAAGAAAATTGTCATGTAAGTGTTTGTCGCTAAACTTTTAAGTGTAAGTAAAGCACACAAGTTATGAGCACATTGACCTGTAAATTTAGTTAATTAAAAGATCTAATATAGATTTCCTGCAGAAGCTGTTTGGTGCAGTGGTAACAGTTTGACTTCTTATAGATTGGTTCTGGCCAGTTGGGGTTCCCTGCTACTGTGCCAATAACATTCATGAATGTTGACGAGTGATAAAAATGCTTTTCAATCAAAAGGAAACATGCTGTAGCGCTCACAAAATATGTCTTCCACCCCCCACTTTACCCAATTTCGTATTCAACCCCAAGTATCTACAGTAATAGTTTTGTCTCTTTAATGGATGAAAAGCATATATTTTCTATCTGCTTACTCTATAGCAAACTTTGTGTTGAAGGCATGTTGCAGAAATGTAATACCATTCATTAAATGTAAAGCAACTCAGTTGCTCCTAGTTTTAACTAGGAAATGTTGGCTGGGGACCTTGGGCAGCAACAGAGTGCACCACCTCAGGTTGAGAAACTTTGCACTACACCAGGTTACAAGTGTGCGATATTCTTTAACATACATGGACCAACAATTTTAAAATAACTTTGTCCAATTTTTTTGTTTTAAAGACTAATAACCTAAATAAAGGAATAAAAACTTGTTATATTGTATTTTAATCATTTGTGAGTAGTTTATGCAAATCTACTTCAGGCATAGATAAAGCATGGAGGTATTATTATCTTTTGGCAACAGATCCAAAATTAACCGTTAAGTAATTTCGTTTTGTATGTAATTGGATGCCAAATTTATGTATAACGTTTAATGTCAACCAAAGAAAATTAATTATAGTTCTTTTGTATTTTGAACTGAATAAAGTAATTTTGTTTCAATTAGTGATGAACAGGAGTCTGTTTTACATTCTGATAAGGCTTTTGCATCAGTTCACTACCTTCACTTTCATCAGATGCACCTCCAAGAAAAGAATATTGTAAGAAAAACTTCCATTACAATTTTAATATTTAAGTCAATAAATAATTTGTAATAGTTTTTTCATCTTTCATGTAGATATAGAATATTTAGTATACAATAATGAACTTTAGGCCTATATTAAACATTAGATAATAGGCCTAACAATGATAAAGATGATGGGGCAGTGACAGCATTGTCGGTGCCAATGACAATAGTTATTTACAACAAATTATCATTTATATTATTTTTTTCTCTTTTATATTCCCTACTAAAATTTCTGAATTGTACCATGGTTGAACTTGAAATGTATTTATATATTAAATCTATAGGATACAAGTGTGTCAATGTTTAATAGAGTAAAAGACCTCCCAATGAAAGTTGGTAGCAAGATACAACAAGAACTTGATCTTAGTACTTTAAGCTTGTCCAATAAAGATGAGGAGCAGACATCATCTAAACATATCTCACCAACTTTAGAATTTCCAACATCAAGTAGTAATGGTATGATGACAATTCTTTATTTTTATAAGAATATTTTTTTTTTCTAGATTAAAAAAGTGAATAATTATTACCATAATATAGAGGTAATTTTTCTTATAAATGATCAACAATAATATTATAAATACATGGAAACACCTGATCAGCTCAATAATGTTTATTATCAAGCAGAATTTATTTATTTATTATAAACCTTGGACAAGTATACCCAGGTCAACATAAAGCCCGAAAATAAGTCAAATACATCATTCATGATATTGTGAAAGAATGTCTTCATTGTTTATTTATTGATTATTATAGCAGTGTTCACCCCATTAAAATGTTTCTTCTTGTAATTTGTTTGGATGTGAAGCACTACTCATAATGCATTACTAGAGGAGAGTTTGCATGAAAATAGCTCATAAATGCCAATGCCTGAATGTATGATATGTGATTCATATATAAATCCTCTAATAAGTAATGCAACATCATGCACACATGCCATTTGAACACCACCCAACCATGAAAAACACAACACTCAAACCTTTTCCCTTTTTTCCCTTTTTTTTTTTGAAGTTCACAGTAGCTTTAAACAAGGCCAACGACCACTCAATGTAAAGGGTTAAGATAGTTTAAAAGAAAAGGTTAATAAAATTTAAAATTTGACATTATTGACACTTAAATTGATTTTTTTTGCTATATTGTTACCTCTCCACAGTGTCTTTGACAATGTGTAAATTCAGCCAAGGATTTTTGAAAATATCTGGAATAAGTGGTAGGAAAACTCATGAAGAAAACCCATCAGCTATTAGGAACATCACAGAGGATGCTCTCAAACATTTACAAGGTTTAATATTTTCATTTTTCATATTTTCTCTAATTATGATATATCAGTAAAGCAAATACAGTTGTTTGTTGGTTACTTTGGAATATGGGTAGGAAAATAAAACTCCAGAAACTATATTAGTTTCAGTCTGATTACTGTAAAAATGATCTATTAAAGTTGCACTATTAGTAGTTATTCGAGTTGCTTTAGAAACAGTTGGGTAAAATGAATGAGATAGGATAATGTCTTAAAGTAGTTAGTTAAATTATGATTGTGGTATTTTAACAAGTCAATGTTAAAATCTCCCATTAAGTTACAATATTTATTTTCTTGATTAATAATAGTTAGTAGTTCACCTACAGTAGATGCTTAGAGAAATGAATAATCTTAGTACTCGGGGGTCTGTATATGATACCAATCAGTATATTTTTCGTATTATTAATTATTTCAATGAACAAAGAATCACAAATATCTTTGGGAAGGGTGAGATCAGTACGAAGTCGAATGTTAAACTTGTTACTTATAAAAATACCCACGCTACCTCCAATGCTAGACTGCCTACTACTTTAAAAAAGAGTATAATCATGTGAAAAAAGTAAGAGGTTTATTTTCATTTAGCCAGGTTTTAGACAGTCCAATTAAAGAGAATTTAGTATGAGTAGAATGTAAAAGGCCTTTAAATGCATCAGTTTTATTTGTGAAACTTCTAATATTTAAGTGCAATAATGATAATTTGGATTGTTCTATTGAGTCGTGTAATGAGTTTAGTTCATTTAAATCATAATATTTACATTGATCAAGTATAGCAGATCTTGTATTCAATTGATTAATTAGCATGCTGGCCTGGTCATCGTATCTATCATCATTATCAATAAAAGGGTTAAAACTATTTTCTTTTTTTTCAAAACAAAATTTAATGACAAGAAAGATCGACGTTTCGGGTCCATCATGGAACCATTCTCAAGATCAAGTAAATTGAAAAAACTAAAAACAAAAATACCAAGCAGTGACAGGAAGTAAGTAATTTAATTTACATATCAATAGGGCCTACTGTGTGGAGCCATAGTGGAGCTAAGCAATAATTAGCCCTTCTTAGCAGATTAACTAGATAAACAGTTTGGCTTTGACTGAATCAGTTTGTTTGTTAAGTGTAGGTTTCAGTTCTTTGATCCAAAGCATTTCTTTGATTAAGCAATCAAAATTCTTGAGAATTGTTCCATGATGGACCCGAAACGTCGATCTTTCTTGTCATTAAATTTTGTTTTGAAATTATATAGTAAGCGTCTCTTAAAACTATTTTCGAAGGTGTAATTTACATCATTTTGAATGTCAACAGATGAAGGGTTATGTGAAGGAATAAATGAACATCATTATCAGTCATGTATATAAATATTTAACAAAGTTAAAGGAAGATTACAGAGAGCATAACAAAAAGGATAAATGCATAAATGATTTAATAGAAGAATTATACACGGTAAACGGATAACAATACAGTTGTGAGTAAACTGTAGTCAGTTACATTGTCAAGTAAATACTTAGTTACGCAAGGCCTAGTAAAATTTTAGACCCAGACATAGTTGCGCGGTTCAAGTTGGGTGGCTGGTGGTGGTACTCAGTGCTAGGGCTAGTGCTGGTGTTATTATGTACAGTAGAACCCCTCATTTACGTATGGCACAGGCCCAGAGCCGTTCGTAAAATCGAGGTTGACCCAAATTCCTATATATTTGCACTGGTACTACTTACACTGGCATAAACTAGGCCTACTGGCCTACGCAGCTAAGTCTGAGGGGGCCTAGGCCTACAGTAAGCAGCTTTTGAGCATTCTGATCCCACTCTAGACCCTACACAAATTTGTTTTTATCAGATATTTTTACGTTCTTAAATACCTAGATTGTGGATTTTACTCCAACACAACTTCCATAGATACTTCTTATACTTCTTTATTATATATATTGATCATTCAATAAAACAATCAAGCACTATGTTGACTTTTAAAGCTGAAAACGATGTTTGAAAGAGAAGTAAAATTTGTTGCATGCATGTGTGTGAAGCCATAAAAAACACTGACTTTTAAGAGGCCCGTTAGAAGGCCTCCTTCACTTGAGAATTACATAGTACTGTATAGTATGGTGTGTTGTGTTGTATGCATGCTAATAACAGTTACAATTCGAGCGATTTTTTTAAAAATCTTTCACTTAAATTTTTATGACGTCATCATCTTTATATTACGTTCGTAAAATCGGGAATTCGTTAAATCGGGGTTCGTAAATGAGGTTTTTAACTGTATTGTTATTTTTATTTTCTCTGCTTTGGTAGAAATGTACAAGAACATTTGTTTTTTGCCCTATAATATTAATATATTTTCTATTTTTAACAGAATGTCTATGTTAAATCCCATTTCCACCATAAATGGTAACAGTTCTTTAAATAATATATTTGATAACATTTTCTTTACTATTTTCACAGATGAACTCGCAAGGTACAAGATGACATGTGACGATGTTGTTCTTATAAATTTGTATGTGTGCAGCATGACATATTATAGGGATATCAACTCTGTGTTTCCTTGCTTTTTCCCTCTTAACCCACCAGCAAGGTAAATAATAATAAGTTTCATTTATTGGCAGTGACTATTGTTACACCAGTCTTCAACTAATTGGATGTTATTGTCCTTAATTCAATCCATATATTTAAAAAATCCAAACATTATAAGAATTGATTTAAAACTGGTGTAACAATACATTGTTTATAAGTAAATTATAGTATGCATGCTATATTACCGAGTATTATACCTATATAAACTTTTTAAATTAGTCATATGTGTAATTATTAAATTAGTGAACTTCTTTGGTGTAATTATTTTTATCTTCAATTAGTTATTATTTTTTATCCTGTATTCATTGCCAGGAATTGAACTGTGGAACCTATGGTCGGAAAGCAAGCATCTTTTCCAAAAACATTATAATTTCAGTACATAAATATGGCACAACGGGGCAAGGGTTTGAAATCTCATATTACCTTGTATTCCCTGTATTGAGGGTCCCACAATTTATCAGCTCAGCTGGATAAACCACCCTCACAAAATTTTGTTCAAACTACCTGTCAGTGTTCTTGACAAGTATATTTACAGTTTAAATTTTCTATTAATAATTTTTTATGCACAAGGGTCTGTGTACAGGTAGACTTGTGTAGCGATAATCTTTTTGAAATGAACTGTCTTGCTCACTGCTATGCTATAGCAGATGAAATCCAGTCAACTGCTAAGCATCATCATACAATGCATGTTCAGAGCATATCCCACTGGGCTCCTGCAAACATTGGACCATACAGCCAGGCTGTTGAGGTAGGTTCTATTGATAATGTTCTAATTATGGCTCAAGCATTTCATTTTTTTTTCTATGCCTTATCTTGCCAGAATTTTTCTAAAAAATATTCACAATTTATTTTTTGATTATTGAAATTACTAGGGATTATGGAGATTATGGCCTATTGCATACAACTTTTTCATTATCATTTAAGATCAGTAGGTGGAACAAAGAAAATACAAGCTGCTGCAGAATTTGAACTGACAGCAATATTTTCCCCAGATTCCGCTTAAGACATATTTTGTGAAGTTGGAACATTGGCCTTGATTCTTGACAGTCTGTTGCAATTGTTTGCAAATAGGCGAAGCTAATAATCATAATTTCTACGTCTATGGGTGTGTTTCCACCGAAAAATTTATATACAAACCGTTCTCTGATTGGTTGAATATCGGATTACCATCACTATTCAGTAGAACCCCTCCTTTAGGACACCCCTATTAAGGGAACACTTTTCCGTGAAACGAGGGGCAATATATCTTTTAACACTACGGCCAACCCCTATTAAGGGTACGGGGACACTTTCTGAGCCAAATGGTCAAATTACCCCTATTAAGGGGGTATAGGCAGTGGCGTAACTTCTATGCACTCTCAAGCGGCAGTCCGCAGGGCCCTGAATTCTAGGGGCCCCGAAGGGGTCCTACCCATAGGCTCCTTGATCTTGCACCCTGACCAAAATGGTCTTTGTTGATAAATAACACCATAATGTGTCTCTGAAATTTACTGTAGGGCATATATCATATTATAACAATTAAAGAGAGGGGGGCCCTGTCGGCCCGACGTGGCCGCCTCTCGGCCCGGTACCCTACCAAATTTGTCAAAGAAAAAAATTTAAAAATGGAGATAAAAAGAAAATTATATACGCAATTTTAAGTCTGCGAGTGCCATTTCCGGCCATCTAGACGTACCATAATAATAGATTTTCTTTTCTCAGCCCCACAAGGGCAACAGCATAATGTGTGTCTGAAATCGACTGTAGGACATTTATTATATCTAGTGGCGGAATAAAGAGTAAGGGTGGGGGGAGTTGCCGGCTTGGAGCTGCCGGCCCGGAGCTGCCGGCCCGAGGCCCCAGTAAATTTTTCAAAATATTTTTTAACTGGCGATAAAAAAAAATATATTTAATTTTATGTCTGTGAAGTGCTATTTTGGGCCATCTAAAGGTGCCATATTCATAAATTTTCTTACCTCAGCCCCAAACATGGTGGGTCTGAGGTGGTAAAGACTCAACTGTGAAAGTCCCTCCCTGGCCTCAATTTTCTGGATCCATATTATATCATTTATTCGTCGTTAAAAACATTTAGAATAACAATGCACATCTAAAATCCCACGATGGAATTGGTGATCAGGGCCCAAAAAGGACCCCTAGTTTCAGAAATACACAGGGCCCCGACCCCATCGTTACGCCACTGGGTATAGGCCTAATGCATGTGTTATTTCGTACCAATCTTGTGTCATGAATTCCTACTTGACATATATCCGAGCGGTATAGAAATGACTAGGAATCCCTCTTTGACATATAAAATATAAACACAGCTCACAATGTTGTAACACAGCTCAAAACCAAGTTTTATTCTGTATGAACTCCAACAAGAATTCGGTATCAAAATAACACAACAACATGCACATAAACATGTGTTTCAAAAAAGAGTTCCTCGAAAGACCAAGCTCTCACCTTATATACATTAGCCCTAGAATTCAAGAGCATTCCATATTGTCTAGTTCCTCATTGGTCACCTTACATCATAATTAACCAATAGGCTTATTGCCTTTACAGTACCCAAGATTCCAGAAACTTCAAAATATTACTCTTGGATTCTACATGGTGTCATGTGTTCCTATATTATTACCAATGTGGTTTACACTTGTTTGTTTGGTCAAGTAAATGCAATTCTAGAATGTTCTATCTGATAAATATGCTACAGTAAGGAAAGGAATGATAATTTATTACACTTGTCAATTTTGAATCTTAACCATGAGGATTTCTTTTTCTTCGTTTTTCGTGTACTTTCATATAGCATTCTAATCCATACCATATCTTGCACCCTTAATTCCAAGTCCTTACTCTATTCATGCTACATTCATCCAATAAAGAGCTCAATATTTAAAAAAAAAAAATAATAATATTTGGTCAGTAAAATTGCATCATGAATTGGGAACTTATTTTAATTACATTTCTGCTGATTTTATATTATAAATAAATTGTATTTGCATTGCAAATTATTGCTGCAAAGTTTTAATTCTATTGTAAACTATTATATGTCAATAAAAATAAAATTATAAAGAATGTATGTAATCGTTATATGAAAACATGCCAAAACATACAATGATTCCTTCTCCTATCTTAATAATAGCTCATGTTGGTATTCAAATAAACAAAGGTTGTTTTGTGGTGTTGAGAACAGAAGTTTAGCATTTGCTTTACTGATTCCTCCTAATAGAAATTAATAATAATACTGTAGGTCTATTGCTGTATCCAACATATCTGATCATTATTGAAGAACTTAATATTTTCAATTGTAGTATTTTACAAAGTCTTATAAAATTGATTCTCAAATATGTCCATTTCAACAATTCCAGATTCCAAATATTATTTTAACTAATGCACATCAATTGAATATCATATGCATAAATTATAATTGTTGCTTAGTCGTTATAAATTACTTTTCAACATAAGCTTAGAAAAGGAGGTGGAGTAAATCTATGTTATTGATAAAATGCCCTCCAACGTAATATCAGACACCATTGTACGTGAAGAGTTGAAATGCATCTGTGGGTTCACCCTCCTCACCTACCACATGCTATCTCTGGATTAATCATTCGTGCATCATCAAGAAGTTCTCAATCATCTGATTTAGTGTTTCAGTCCAGAACAGATAAACTAGTATAGTAGTCATCAATTGCCATAGTGATGTCGTGATTAGGAGTAGACCGTAGACTGTGTATGTTGTTAGAACGTTTATTTGGAACACAACAAATGAACGAATATAAAGAAAAGCAGAATATGAAGAAAATTTAAAACATAACAGGAAAAAACCCCTGCAACACGAAGAAACATAGAATAGTGTCAATCCATCATATACCTCAATATCATAACATATCGCATAATAAAACAATATCTCAAGTTAACTCAAATAATAAATAATATTAACATGAACACAACAAATGAATGAATATAAGCAAATCAGAATATGAAGGAAAATGAAAACATAATGGAAAAAAAAACAAAAACCTGCAACACAAAGAAACAGAATAGTATAAATCTATCATATACCTCAATAACATATCACATAATACAACAACAACTCAAGTAATCAATAATATGAACTCACTCAGAGATGAGCCTCTGTTCATAATCATAATATTAATATCAATGGTAATTTTAAAACAATACAGTACTCATTACTGTTTCTCATGTGTCATTAATACATCATTATTAATCTCATCATAAATCTCATGGTTAAACATTACTCTCTGGTAACGTTCCTGTTATAACTTCTATGTTAAGTCTTAATGTAAACACATTAACTTTAGTACATCACACTTAAGCTAATCATCAGTCGTATAGAAATTAGAGTACTCTCCAATGGGATTCCTGTCACCGCAACTGGCACCACCACTTAATTACAATTGTTACAAAATTTGTTGGGAACTGTCAGTTTTATGTAGCATGATGAGGGTAAAGTGCAGCGTTCAGAATAGTCCTCTAATAGTTAAATATGCCTAATAATGAGCAGACATACAGATTTTTATTGGGGGCCTAGACATCAGCTGTTTATGCCCCCAGCTGGATCCAAAGGCCTAGAAGCTCCAAAAAATTAGCATTTTGAAGCCATATTGGATTTCTGTAACCTATAATTCGTGAAAATTGCAGTCACCCGAGCAGACAAATTTTCAAAAAATGTTGTTGGAATAACATGATTATTAATAATCAACGGTTTAAAAGAGCTGGCAAATGAAATGCAATGATACACGCAATAATGCATAGTATTCCGCAATTTCAAAACGATTTTGGTGAAATAGTATAAGGTGTTAAATTGTGGACCTTTTGGTGGGTGCGTCTGCACTTTCTGCATCCCCCTGCCTACAGGCCTGGTTTGTCTGGCAAACCAGGTGTTATGTCCTATAAAGCCTAAAAACATTTTGCCTGTGATATCTCTGGTCTACTCACCATAAGCAAGCCTGTGATAAAGTTATTACGTTTTAAGCTGCTGTCGTATTAAGCAGAACTTAAGATTACCAACCTTGGACGTTTGTCAATTGGTTGGTAACGTATTTAATTATAGATCTGAGTGGGGTCACCTCTACTTCAAAATGGCCTAGTGTCGAGTTTTGATCCTCACTTTATTGAAAAAAATATGTAACGAATGATTATTATTTATAGTTTCTTTTAAAAAAATGTTTAGAATTTTGTTTTTTCTCGCAGGCCAGAATAAATTTCTCCACTGACCAAATTTGGCCCGTAGGCCACCTTTTGAGAACCAGTGGTATAGACACTAAAACTTGTGTATTATAACTCAAAGTAATAATAAACTATGATCATATTAATCATGATAATTGTCATCAAAATATGGCCCGAAATCGATAACCATAAGTAAAAATAATAAGTATTCAAACAAATGAAAGACTGTACAATCAATTAGAATCATTGTAAAGAGTTAATGTAGAGCGCTTCCCAACCGTAACATGGCCGCCGCCATTTTGTTTGCATAGGCCGCCCTCTGTAAACCCAAGTAATTTATCAACAAACAGTGTTTGTGAGCAAAGTTATGTTGCTCCGTGTTAAACAAATGTGTGAATGCTTATCAGTGAAATTCGGATACAAAAGCTGATGGATAAACAATCATCAGCGAATCATAAATTATATACTGTATTGTAGCTTGAATCAGTGTTACAACATACCATAAAACTTCAGGTTAAAGTTTTTAAACTCATCTATTTAGTATAATCAACAAATTGGTTACAGAGCTCTGTTTTTTACTCTGCCAAGACACATCTTGTCTGAATCAAAGATGCTATGTAAATAATCATGCCACGGATATCCAAACAAAGAGGACATTTACCGTAAATTGATATCCCTCCTCAAAATAAAATAGATCCCAATAAAAACAAAAATTCCAATCTCCAATAGTGATATGACCAGTACATCTGTGCGCGTACATTTAGCTGTGCGTATGTGGATTGTTGCTTCAGTATGCACCAACAGTACAGTTGAAATGGTTGGCATGTACAACAGCACTATGAATAAATATCTGATGTGTTTGAAGAACTTGTCATGAGTTTACTTTTCTGATAGAATACAGTAATCACTGTTTTTGGTTGGTGCAGACAGGTAAAATTGTGTGATGATTTTTTTTTAGCTTACAGCCTACGCTAGGCCTTGGCCTTTTAAAATTCTTTTTTTTTTCAGTCTTTGGAATAGGCCTAGATAGTATTGGCCTGAAATATTACTATTCAATTTTCAGTTTCTTTAGTTTATTAGGATCCACTGATTCAAGGAAATCTTTATTTTTTACACATAACATTGAATAAAACATGCCGCAAGATAAGTCTTCTTGTTAATTCCCACCAAACAGTTGCAGGTCAACTAGCCATCAATATATAAAATCAATCCTACAGCCACCTCAAAAGCTACTACAGAAATCGAACTCAGCCAACACATATACCTATTACCGCTAATAAGGACTGTTTTAGATATTCATTCCTACCCTTGACTGTTGTAGACTGGAACTGTTTACCGCAATCCATCATTACCATCCAAGATAAACAAATATTTCACACCGCCATTAAAAAGCATTTTAATCTGATGGAGGGAGAGTAAGTCTGTTTCATCTTTATTTAATTATATTATTTACCTGTTTATTATTATTTGATTTATTAATCCCACTTTTGGAGCCAATAACAAATCAAAGGTAATAATAATAATAATACACAGTAACAATAATAATAATACAGGAACTTATACCGCGCCTTTTGCCAAGGGATACAAAGCTCAATAAAAATAGTAATAGTAATAAGGATGATAAGGCGAGACTTCTGTTATACCTTGTTTAGCAAACCCGCCGAACGCAAATATTGATGATTTCAAATAAAAGTAAAATTTTATTTTTGGCCAATTAGCGCACCTGCCGCCACAAAAAATGGAAATTTCAGAAAAAATTTAAGTTTTTTTTAAAAATATTTATTACGCTCTCCGCTGCCTTGAAATCTCCAAAGATAAAATATGTATATTTCTTCCTAATTATATAAATTTTAAGCATTTAACCATCCAATTTTACATTTACCAATAAAATTTATTTTTATTTTTTTCCTCCGTCTAGATGTTTTTGGCAAAACTATTTGCTAAATAAGAAAACAAAATTTTATTTTAAATTTTAATCTGCCCTCCTCCGATGATCTTTAAAAAAATAAGTAGGCAAAACAAGGAATAAAAGGTGTCTCACCTAAGGATTATATATTAGGAAGAGTAATAATGATAAAAGTAATTGAAATAACATTTATTAATATAACATTAATAATAATGATAAAAATAACAGTAACAATTAATTTTGATAAAGATAATAATAATAATAATAATGATTAAATAACTCATGTCCTTTTTTTTGCTGCCGATGTTCCAACCACTCCGTGATAAAAACTAAAACTATGTACTCCATACACTGTACCACTCGAAAAGCAGCACCATCAACCCTACCTTTGTGAATCCCTATGTTGGGTTGTTGAGTAATAACTAACCAGAACCAGAATTTGATGCCACATTCTTCGTGGTCTAACTTGCCTTGTTCTAAGATTGAGCGAGTGCCTGACCTGTTGTTTCACAGGCTCACATAGAAGTGCGAAGTGTGAAAACACTAGCCTAGAAAATTATTAATTGCTGTGCAAGAGCACAAGTTGTTTTGATCTTTTGCACATAAACCAAAAAAGGTCAAATAAATGATGTACTAATTAAAAATTATTGCATGGTTTGGGATAAGACAATAACAATATCACAATTGACTAAAAGAATTAAATCCTCACTTATTATTTTAAAAACAATTGATATGTTTCGTGGAAAAAGTTTTTGAGTAATACTTTTTATTTGCATTGTTTGTGAAATTGAATTTGTTGCTGTGATAGTGATAGCAAAAAACTAGCAGTCAAATAATGCCACAAACTGAATGAAGTGGTTATCATGAAGCCATGGATATTCAGACTACTCTGTAATACTTGAAATAACTTTTTTTTTAAATTTTCTTTAGCCAAGGACTACCAATAGTGAGTTATTCACTGTCCTGTGACGGTAGATAGGTGGCAATCCTCTATTGTTGAATGTCTCATATTGATAATAATAATAAGTCAATTCTTTGATAGCACATTCCGCAAAACACTTTAATGCGCTTTACAACAAAGAACAACAGGCAGTAAATAAATTCGACTTGAACTACTTAAACTAAAACCAGTTTCGAAATGTGTGAGGGCTATTAACAAAATGTTATTCCCTCTATTGTTTGTGATGATTTGGTTTTTTTCTTTTGATATTTTTTTATTAAAAAATGTAAAATAATGTCTTTTGTAATTTGTTTTAGGTTAATGGCATGGTCTTCTGTGCAGGTGTTATAGGTCTTTGTCCAAGCTCCATGATGTTGATAAAGGGTGGTGTACTACCAGAATGTCGAATATCATTACAAAGTGTTGACCGGATTTTATGTGCAATGACAGCTTCATTCTGTAATGCTATTTTGTGTATTTGCTATGTGACATCCTCATCCTACATTCACACTGCAAGACAAGAGTGGAAGGCACTTCTAAATTCTAAGATGAAGGCAAGTGCAAAACATCTGTTGTCCCAATCATAGTGCAGAATGTCATATAAACTTTGTAAAGATGCCTTATTGATTGGTTAATTCAACTATTAATGATACTGTCATGGAAGTCAGTAAAATACAACTGATTTTGTAGTCAAGAAATTTAGTTGCAGTTTACATACAGACACGTTTCAATTTCCTAGTTAATCTAATCTTTGGATATTATTGCAAAGATGCCAGCAGATCTGAAGATATTTTCTCATGAGAGATGCACACATGCTCGTACATGTCAAAAATATTCTTATTTATAGTTCTAAGATAAAATATTTTTTGAAACTGTTAATACAGTATTTATGTGAATGGTAAAATACACACAATCGTATTTCATTTATCCCAAGTACTTTTGGATTTGTCTAGCTTTTAATTTCCGATTCCCAATTGGAATGAGGACCAATAAAGAATTACCATTATTTTAGAAGGTGCAAAAATGTATACACTAATGAACTTTTGCATGTCACTACAGTACTTTATTACCACAAAATACGTCTTTTTTTTAAACCAGTGGAAACGCAATTATTTATTTCTTTATTTATCCTACAAACGTATGTAACTGTTAATGTAATTTTTCGCGCTGCACCTTTAGGCTGTGACGATCAAGAGGAAATAGTCATTAAGAAACTGTAGGTAGCGGTAGCTTTTACTACGAAGAAATGGGAATTCCGAACTAAGCAATGCACATGTGCAGTTACCAAAAAACGTCTCAGGAACCAAATAGCGGTCGCAAAGAGGGTATGATTACCAAAAAATCGTCTTAGGAACCAAACAGCAGCTGCGAAGAGGGTATGAAATAGAAACGGGAAAACTATATGTTATGGATGGAAAATAATGAGAACTCGAGCACGTCGAAAGCCTCTATTTTGGGTATCTTTACAGCCAGTTCATCAGTGTTTGTCAAGGGGAATTGTAATTAAATTATCGCAAAAAAAAGTATATTAGTCTCTATTGTCATACCTACGTACGTAGACCTATGCACTAACAATCCCATAAAAAAAAAACCACAGAAACTGACGACACAACCTAGGGTCTACTACTAGCCAAGTAGTAGAACCCATAAAAAAAAAACCACAGAAACTGACGACACAACCTAGGGTCTACTACTAGCCAAGTAGTAGAACCAGGGTATTCCACATTTAATGTCAAAAAATATGTTGCCTTTACGCTGAAGAGGGTTAGGGTTAGGCTAACTATTATCGAGATATCGTATGGTACCCATGTTTTATCAACCCATGAAAAATAGCCACACACTGGCGGCAGTAGAAAGGCCTATCCAAGCTAGTGGGGGAGGAGAATGAATACAAATAAATAAAATAATATTAAAATTATTATTATTAATATTAATAACAATAATGCTAAAATCCGGTTTGGCTCTGTGGTTTAGTACTTTAGTCAGCAGAAGTACAAACAGTAACAGACCCCATGGATGGCAAAACGAACAAGGGAAGATTTAACAACGAAAAAGATTAAGAGATGAGATCGATATTTATTGGGGAAGAGTGAAATGGTGCAACACAGCAAGAGAAAAAGCTTGATTTGACGTCGACATCCTGAAACATTTGTCCAACAGTGTACCGACAGTAGCTGATGATGAAGCCTCTGAAAGTAATCAACGTGGTCGAGCCTTGAGTCTAGACGCAGGTTTCCCGGAACGCCGCCCTCAGCAGCGAGTGCGAAGCACAACTCAGGGTCGAAAGTGGAACGTGAACTTTGGATATGATTTCGTAGTCAGATTTGCGAGAAAAACTTCAGCTACCCGTATTTCTCGAGCTGTAATTTGTATGGCAAGGAGATTGTGCAACCCTTCATTCGTATTAAGTGAATTTACGCCCAGAAACTTTGTAGTTATTAATATTTTGGTTATAATAGAAAATATTCATTTTTTGGTGACGTCACACTCACATTAGTTAGCATGCATACATCATAAGCTAGATATGTCACCTTTTCCTGGTAAGGCAAACTTTCCCGGCGGCGTGCTTTTTTCATGGATAAACAAACACCACTGCTTTGCACATGGATGCCTTGTCCAAGCCAGGGTTACAAGAGCCGCATTGTTAGCATTGTATAATACTTAAACAAGGTACCTCTGCAAATGAATTATTCTTAGTTATTTTTTTTTCTTATTTTAATTTATTTCTTCCTAAAGTGTACTCTCTATCACATATAATTCCACTGTCTTAGTTAGGTGTTCATGTAACATTGACATAATTGTTAGCTAACAAGTTGTGTGTATTTCTTTGTGAAAATTAGTACCGCGGTGTACTCATTTTCACAAAGCATTTGCATCCCATCTTGGAAATTATTGTCTCCATATCTTCGCTAATTGGATTAATCACCGTAATTTAGCTTACACTTATGATTTAGGGAGCACTTAAAATGTAAAATAATCATTTCAGTACCCGACAAACTCCGAACTTTATTCATTCATTAGGCCTACATAATAGTTTCATATTGCTTTACTATATACTCCAACATCACTGGCGCATGGTAACAACCAACTGACTGCAGACCATTTCCGGTCACACATTACTCTCCATAACACAGCACCCCCTAGTTCCGTCACCTCTGGGTGACAGCTTAATTAATCTACAATATGGGATTACAACCCAGACAAACTGGGGCCCAGCTGCAGGAAGAATCTTAGGTGACCCACCCTTTGATAATTCCATATTCATTTGGATCATTTATTATTTTAACATCAATTTTATTTTTAAAATAATCTTTAATTCATATACAGTATTATGCATATTGCAGTAAAAAATTAGGCATCCATAACAATAAATAAGCATAGGGCTATATTAAATTGATCTATATGAAAATACAGTTGCAGATTTATTTATTGAAACAGCTAACTTCAATACGATAACAAATTTTACACATAGGATAAATATGGAAGTAGCTGTATACACAAATTGAAAAAGTTACAGAAGTTTCGGCATTTTTTTTATAGGAAATATTTCTTGTTTTATAATATTTATTTTTAATATTTGCACCATGGAACTGTTAACCACCATCATATTGCCACATATGAACAACTAAAAATTATATTTGTTTTGCTTTAATTTTCTTCAGGGAGGTAATGTAGAAGATGTGTCAACTCTGTGCCTGCTTACTTTTGTTGTTGTTCCATCACTACCAAGAAATGCTGCTGTAGAATGGCATGTCACAGCTCATGTGAATCGGGAGCATTGGCAATGTAAAGCTCTGTCCTCACTCTCAAACTTTCTTTGACAGATAATGGTTATATGCCCATATTTAGTCATGATGTGAATATACATGGTCATGATAATTGATGTCATCATGAACTTAGTTAGGCATGTCACATGTTTTGCCAAATGAAATTTAATGCTCTGGACAGGGTTTAGTAGAAACTTTTCATCATCAGATTATGTATTTATTGAAGCCAGCTATTTTGAAAATCGTATAGGCATGAAATATAATCAGAGAAAACAAACATAAATCAAAACCTAAAATTCTTAAATTGATGTTTTAAAATTTAATAGATTATGTCTGATATAGAAACATATGGTTCTTCAATCCATTTTTGTATATAGACCTATGAGGGTATGGCCTTATCAATTTATTTAGGCGGTCAGTTTTTCTTCTTGAAAGCCTTTGAAAGAATGCAATAATGACGTAAGAAAGTTTATCCAATGAGATTATTATCGCAAAAAAATTGCCTTTCTGTTTCCGGTTTAACCTAAGCAAATGGATTGGTATAGGCAAAGTTATGACGTAAATAAACGACCCCTCACAAACCGACTCAAATCCTGCTGAAAACACTCTAATATTGTTTATATTTTCATAATTCAGCCCAAAAAAGGGGGGTGCTAAATATTTGAAAACAAATATTTTGTAAATTGTTTACAATAGCTATATTTATAACCTTCTATAAACCTTTTGAACCTAAGTTATCCGACCTCTAGTATTTGTGTTACCATTTTTGTAGTAAAATCAGTCAATGTTTTTGAGGAATGCTAATGGTTACGAGATAGGGTGATTTTCACGGCGGCGCATTTGCAGTTTAGTGGACCAAACAAATTGATATGGGCGGTTCTTTTAGAAACACAATATCTACATATTTTATTACAAGTATTTGAAATGTTAAAGCACTGATAAAAAGATTTTAAAAATCTCCTAACACTACACATAAGTGGACCTAAATAAAATGAATATCATTAGAGCTATCTATGGAATTAAACTGAAGGTTAATGAAGCCTAATGTTGAAACCAGGTTTTTTTTTATATTTTTACTTTGGAAAATAGAAAATGACTGAAGTAGGATAAAGCCAGGGCCAATTAATATATATGTGTAATTTATATTAATTGTAAATAAGGTATCTCACAGCCATAATGGAAATCAGTATTGTATTTGTTGATTTCTGCTTCGTGAATATAAAAACATTTCCCACTTAATACTACCTAGATTTAACAGAGTCCAAACATTATAAAATCTAAAGAGATGATAAGTTTAAACAAAAAAAAGACACAATTTAGATGCAAGACACATTGTAATCATAAGTCATTTACTGCAAATTGCCACCACAGACAGTGTCAGTGCAAATTAAATAATAGATGCAGATTTATTTATTATTTGAATTTATTATTATTAATTTAATTTGTTAAAGTGAAGAAACATTTATTTGTTCTCTTTAGGTTTACAAGAGGTGAATGACAAATGTGGAATATACTTGTCATCAGAATGTCTGTTCTCTGCAGATGAAGGAGTGGCCGTAATACTTCTTACTGCAGGTAAGTCAAAACAAGACAGTTTGTCAATTCCCAGAACAATTTCATCTGGTGGTCTTGAGTATGAAAATTCATCTTGATCAACCTACAAAATTTGAAGACATACATGTTGGATTTTTTTTTTAATCTGTCTGGTTTCATTCTTAACTTTTTTTTTGCATATTTCGTCTGGAGTCTATAGTCCTTTGTTTTGGAATGGGCCAACAATATTAAGTTCTATTGGATGTCCCTCTTCTCTTATGGATAATTTTACCAATTTTATATAATTTAAGAACTGATTTAGCATATTCAGTTACATAATATCCCATTTTAAAAATAACGAATCTAGTGCGCATTTGTTACATAGATGCTCTCAACTACATTTGTGATGATGTCGCAGGTGCAATAAACGTATGCATGGCTAGGTCTATGTAGTTAACCAAAATACTGTAATTGAACCATAATTAATAGGCCTAGGCAGGCCTCTAATTTTGTGTACCGGTAATAATGTGAGAACTTATTTAGTCTGGATAATACGGAAAATATTGACCAACCAATTAATTCCCCGTATATACCCGTGCTTGACGACGATTTCAGCATTGATGAGATATTATTTGCTATAGGATTATTGAAAGACAAAGCTACAGGACCAAACGGTGTATACCCTGGGCTTTTTCGTTTTGTAACTTTTAATGTATTGACCTCCTTAATATTTATTTTTAACATGATTTTTAATACTGCATCAATGCCTTTATCATGGGGAATATCTCGTCTTACTATGATTTTTGAGCGAGGAGATCGTATGGATCCGAACAATTATAGTGGAATTAGTATTCCCGATGCAGTAACTAAACTCTTTAAAATTTTGCTTAAAAACAGGCTTTTTTTGTGGTATAAGCCTATGGATGAACAAACAGGGGCCCAAAAGGGCAAAGGGTGTTTGGAACAAATTATGACCTTACGTTTACTAATTGATTATGCGAAAACAACACGGTGTAAATTGTTTCTTTTATTCATAGATTTTCGGAAGGCATACGATAAAGTACCAAGGAGTAGTTTGTTTAAGATTTTGCAAGATCTAGGATGCGGATATAAAATGATTAGAATGTTGCGTAAATTATATAGTAGTACATCGTTCCTGTTAGGTAATGCAATAATATTATCATGCATTGGTGTTGAACAAGGATCGCCTAACTCATGTTTGCTTTTTGTTATTTTCGTTGATCGTTTAATTCTAATGGTTAAAGGATCGTCACCAGCCGATTCCTTTCTTAATCATTTGCACATACTTATGATGATGGACGACACAGTTCTAATATCATCGACGAGGAATTCATGTTTTCACAAACTAAAAATTGTGATTGAATATTGTCAAACTTATGGTATGGAGATTAATCAGGATAAAACAAAATTACTGGTTATTAATGGAAACAAACAAGATAAAAGTACAATAAGGGTTGAGAATATTACAATTGAGTCTTGTGAATCATATAGGTATTTAGGATCCCCAATAACTAGTCAGGGAACAATTAAGTCGGTTGTCGATCAACACTTGAAAGAGAGGAAAAATTCTGTTATTAAGTTTGGTGCTTTTTTAAATAGAAATCCTAACTTACCATTCATTTTTAAAAAGAGAATTGCTGAGTCAGCAGTAATGTTTTCGTTATTGTACTCTAGTGAGACATGGTTAGGAGATGGGTTTGCAAACTCATGTCTACTGTCTTTGTATATGAATGTTGTAAAACAACTTCTTGGAGTAAGAATGCAAACCCCCAATGAATTATGTTTGATTGAGGCAGACATGCCAACCTGTGCATTTCGAATGAGAGATGCCCAAAAACAATGGTTAAAGCATAATATTGTTAATAATCCGAATTCATGCTCCAATTATTACCGCTCTAAGTTTGTGTCAATCGGTGGATTCATCCATGTTAAGACATATATATGCGGTATCCCAGATTTAGGTACGTTGCATGACGAGATGGTGCGCCTGAGAACTTGTATTGTGGATAAAACGACAACACGATTTAATCAGTATAAAGCGTTTAATCCTGAACTTATACAAGCACAATTTTATTTATGTAAGAATGTTCAAGAAAATGAACGAGTTGTAAAGTATCAGGAATGACACTAAATAGAGGGAAAAAACAAAAGCCTTTTGGGTTGGTAAGTGGAAAGATAGAATGGATGAACCACTTGATATGTGTTGGGTGAAACAGCCGGTTAAAGTTTTAGGAATTTATGTAGGATACAATTCAGATTCATATTGTGTTGAAAATTGGGATGAAGTGTTAGAGCTTGAGATAACAGATGTGTATAAGAGACAGCTGGACCTTATATAGAAAACTCATTGATAGAAATGTTTCTTCAACTCTTGTTCATTTTTAAATTCCATGGTATTCTAGACAGAGTTTCTGTATCTGTTGGGGGAGTGAAACATCTAGAGATTTCAGTATCAGTAATGGTGTCAAGGTTGAAGTTTATCTCCTCTGTTGTATAATGTGTACATTTCAGAGCTTATTTCATTACTAAGTGAAGCTAAACAAAGTTGTGTCCACATTAGATTTAATAATCTGAGTTATGCAGATGATTAGAATCTGTGCATTCATTGTACTGTCTCTTATACACATCTAGATGTGTATAAGAGACAGCATATATGTATTTAGGATCCCCAATAACTAGTCAGGGAACAATTAAGTCGGTTGTCGATCAACACTTGAAAGAGAGGAAAAATTCTGTTATTAAGTTTGGTGCTTTTTTAAATAGAAATCCTAACTTACCATTCATTTTTAAAAAGAGAATTGCTGAGTCAGCAGTAATGTCGTCGTTATTGTACGCTAGTGAAACTTGGTTAGGAGATGGGTTTGCAAACTCATGTCTACTGTCTTTGTGTATGAATGTTGTAAAACAACTTCTTGGAGTAAGAATGCAAACCCCCAATGAATTATGTTTGATTGAGGCAGACATGCCAACCTGTGCATTTCGAATGAGAGATGCCCAAAAACGATGGTTAAAGCGTAATATTGTTAATAATTCGAATTCTCATGCTCCACTATTACCGCTCTAAGTTTGTGTCAATCGGTGAATTCACCCATGTTAAGACATATATATGCGGTAATCTCAGATTTAGGTACGTTGCATGACGAGATGGTGCGCCTGAGAACTTGTATTGTGGATAAAACCACAACGCGATTTAATCAGTATAAAGCGTTTAATCCTGAACTTATACAAGCACAATTTTATTTATGTAAAGGATGTTCAAGAAAATGAACGAGTTGTTTTAACACGTTTTATTTTAAGTTCTCACTATCTAAAAGTTGAGACAGGTAGATGGTCCCGAATAGAAAGAGATAAAAGAATGTGTAAGTGTAAAGAAGGTGTTCAAGATGAGCATCATATTTTACTTGATTGTAAACTTACCAAGGAAGTTACGGTTCAGATTAGAAATACTTACCATAATGTTAACGAAGTCTTGTTTGGAACTGTTCTTCCACAACAATTGATGTCCCATATTGTTATGAAGGCAATGGAAATATCTCAAATGTAAAATGTATTTATTATGTATGAAGTTTTTTATGTTGGACTTTGTGGTCAATAAATATATATATATAACAAAATGTGCATGCTGTCATGAGTTAACTGGATAATAGGCCTACCTTCTTGGCTGATCATAACTTGTGAATCCATTCAAGATTTTTTGTCTGTTCATTGTGTTAGTTTGCTTTCTGATGTTGATAGACTATAGTCCTTTGTTTTGGAATGGCGCCAACAATATTAAGTTCTATTGGATGTCCCCCTTCTCTTATGGAGAATTTTACCAATTTTATATAATTTAAGAACTGATTTAGCATACTCAGTTACATAATCTCCCATTTAAAAAATTACGAATCTAGTGCGCATTTGTTATGTAGATGCTCTCAACTACATTTGTGATGACGTCGCAGGCGCAATAAACCTATGTAGTTAACCAACAATACTGTAATTGAACCATAATTAATAGGCCTAGGCAGGCCTCTAATTTTGTGTACCGGTAATAATGTATAACAAAATGTGCATGCTGTCATGTGTTAACTGGATAATAGGCCTACCTTCTTGGCTGATCATAAACTTGTGAATCCATTCAAGATTTTTTGACTGTTCATTGTGTTAGTTTGCTTTCTGATGTTGATAGACTTTATTTTCCTTTTGTGTACACTTACCTCTTTCACTAAAGTAGCAGCATCTCAAACTATGATGTGATTTTGGTGTGGAGCATAATCAGTTGTTCATTTACTGCTCATTTAAGTGTGAAGATGGTGGTTATAATACTTCTGTGTTATTTTCTGTGTCTGTATGATAATCTTTGACGTCTGGTGAGGTTTCATTCCCAAGTGTGTTTGTGTTTTTTGTATAGAGTCTGATCTTATGGCAATTGTTATGTTCTGGAATACCGCAACAAAAATTAAGTGTTAGTGGATTTCTCCCTCAGTAGCAGCTGATCTTAAACTTGAGACAATTCATAGGCTCTTTCATCTATGTTCATCTAAAAAGTGTTCTCAGTTTTGTTTGGTGGAAGTTGGACAGTAAAAAATGTAAAATGACATTCCAAGCAGAACAAAAACCACCTAAATAATATGACAATATTTTTATCATAACACTATAACAATGTATAGTTTTTTTTTTACTTTCTTTAATATATTGATTTTGATTTATGTTAAAAAAGATTTATTATAAACATAATACAAAATAACCATTTTAACTGAAGACAGTCATTCCTAAACATGAAAAATTGGAAAGTCAGACCTAAATTTGACATGATATAATCCCATTTATTTGAGACATTTAAAACTTGTTGAAACTGATTTTTATCAAAAATTTTTACACTTAAGCAGACAAATGTTAGGCCTATTTAATCAACTGTGTGTGAGATGCAAGGTTAAAAAACTTTATAAAGCTGAAGTTTTTTACAGCGATGTAAACACTTTAGAAAATTGGTCGATAACTCTTTTATATTTTATTGATTGTTTAACATTAATCTTATCAGG